CACATCTGTGAGGGCAGCGGGTGCAGGGGCCTCAGGACCAGCACAGCGGCACGTGCACCCGGGGCACTGGCTGGTCTGGGTTTGAACCACTCGCCCCACTTGCACCCCTCTGAGCCTCAGTCTGCTCAGCTGTAAAGGAAAAGGACCCAGCCCTGTCGCTGGGGCCATCCTGGAGATTCAGTGGAGAGGTGGGAAGACTCTACATCAGTAGCTCCTGTGATGTTGTGATTGCGGTGTGGCTGAGGGGGCCCATCAAAGGGGATGACGAAAAGTGGGTGAGGCTGGGAGGAGGAGGCGGAGGAGAAGTGAGGGATCTAGGTGCCCCCCTCACGACCCCCATGAGCTTGAGCCCCTCAGCAGTGCCAGAGCTGTCCTGGCCAGGGTGACTGTAGCTTTGCCCACAGGGAAAGCTCTCTCCCCCCCCCCCCCCCCCCCCCCCCCCCCCCCCCCCCCCCCCCCCCCCCCCGCCTCCCCCCTTCCATCGCACTGGGTGCAGCACTCTTCTGGCCTCAGCCACTGTGGCTTTAATCAAAAGAACAATCTGTTTGCCTCTGAATCAGACCCAGATTCCTTTTCCCAGCAATGTTCCCGAGGCCTCCCGGGACCCAGGCGGCCCATCCTGGCTCCGTGGCCTGCCCCAGGGCCCAGGCTCTGTTTCCTCCTCCTCGCTCCAAGTTCTATCTACTCTGGCTTGGGTGGAGGGAGTGCAGGGGGTGGGAGAGAGTCAGAGACTAAAACCCCGGTGGCAAAACCAGGTGACTTGATTGCCTGTGGGCCCTGCCTAGCAGGCATCCTGGAGGGGCCTGTGCACCACTCCCCCTCCCCCCCTCACTGGGACCCCAGCAAGGGCTTCCAGATCCACATAAGCAGTGATGACAGCAAACTGAGATGACTTGCTCCCTTGGCACCTGAAACGCCCACCCCTAAAGAACCCCCAAGCCCAGTACATATGGACCCCTGGCTGCCCCGGTGCTTCTCGCTGTCACGATCATCTTTTATCCTCAGGCTGACCCCAAGAGGTAGGCAGCCATCACTCCCATTTTACAGACAAGAAACTGAGGCTCCAGGAGACGGAGCGACTGCCCAGGGTCCCTCGGTTAGTGAACGGCCTTGGACCCCAGGTCCACCTGCCTCTTAGGACCCTGGGAGCTCTCGGGCCAAACTCGGATGTAGGTGCCCCGCCCGCCTCCACCCGACGGGGCAGGTGGGGCCACCACCCCAGGTGACCTAGGGAAGGAGGAGGGGCAGGGACCACGTAGGGCGCACAAAGGGACCGGGGGTGGGGCGGGGGGGAGGCCTCTCACCCCGGGCCTGGGCCCTGGAGAGGGGAGGAGGGGTCGAGGGAACAAAGGGCGGGCGGCGGGGGCGGCGCGGGGCGAGGCCGGGCAGGTGGGGGGGCAGGTAGCGGCCGCTTCCGCCGGCGGGAATTCCGGGCCCCCTCCCCCTAAGCTTCACCTTTTATGGTAAGGCGGCCGGGGCGGCGGGGCGGAGGGAGCCGAGGGGGCGGGGAGGGCGGAGGGGGCGGGAGGCGCGGCGCCGCTCCCGGCTCTGCTCGCTCGGGCGTCGGACCGGAGCCGCTGGGGGCGCGGGCGACGCAGGTAAGCGGGGAGGGACGGGGTGGGGGAGACCCCGTGCCTCCGTCCGTGCCCCGGCCGCACGCAGGTGACAGCGCGGGCAGCCCCGGGCCGAGCCCCCCTCCCCCCGCCCCCTCCCTCGGGGCCGGGACCCCAGACCCGGCGCTCCTGGAGGGGGCCCGCGGGGGCCGGGGGGCCGCCTCGCGTCCCTGCAGCCGCGGGAGGACCGGGGTCCCGGCCCGGGAGTAGGGGCGCCGGGGGAAGAGGTGGGCAGGGCGGAAGCTCCCGCACAAAGAGGACAGCGTCCCGCACATGGATCGAATTAAAGTCCCTGGCGGCGCCCCCCCGTGACCCGGCCAGTCGCCCAGCTTGGCTGCCCGCGGGAGGGCGCCGGGTTTCCGGAGCCCCGGGGAGCTCCGGGCCCCTTTACCCAGCCCGGGTCAGGAGAGGGGAGAGGAGGGGCCCCGGGGCCGCCCCTCCCTGGGCCTCGAATCCCTGTGGGGGGCTGGGAAGGGGTGTGCCGTGGGGCGTCTTGGCGCGGATCCCCCTCCAGCGCTGCCCCGAGGACCCCGGGAAGAGCCTGGGCAGCGCCCAGAGTCCTGCTCTTAACGACGGAGGCCAAGTCGCGTCCTCCCAGGCCCCCCAGGCCAGCCCAGCCGCTGGGGGCTTCTCCTCATCAGGGGCTTGGGTGACCAGCTGGCCGCCTGGGAGCCCCGAGATCTTGCCATCCTCTCTCCTGTATCCCGTCAGCCAACCAACCACCTTTCAGGACAGACCTTTTAATTCTCCCTTTGTGGGAAAACTGAGGCGCAGAGAGGGTCAGTGACCTGCTCAGGGTCACCCCGCAGGAAAGAGGTGGGGTCCGGTGTGAATCCAGCTCCCTGCGCTTCCTTGGGTTCCCTGAGGTGGGAGAGGGGGAAGGGGAACCTCTACCCAAGGCTGCAGGTCCTCTGCAGTGGGGGTGGGCACCGCCCATCCCCCCCCCTCCCCGCACCCCCCCAAGCGTAATTCTGAGCCAAGGTAGATTGCTTGGTCGAAGTATTAAAGAACAAAGCTTACAGGTGGCTCGAGAGTTTTTCGGAGCCGGTTAGAAGGAATAGGAAGGAAGGGAAGGAGGGACACTGACGGGAGGCTCCCCAGCTCAGGCAGCCTGTCCCCTGCCCTGGGCTGCAGGCTGAAGCTGGGCTGGGTGGCTGGCTGGCTGGATCTCAGCCTCCTTCCTTCCTCTTGACAGGAAATGACTTTCTTTCCCTTTGTTCCCACTTTCTCTCCGCTTACCCAACTGGATCTCAGATTCGCCCTCTGCGGGAGGAAGGGTGGGGGTGGAGGGTCCCCTGGGTGCGGCTGGCCAGTGGCCCCACAGGGAGCTTTCTCACACATACCCCCCCCACCCCCACCGCTCCGGGGTGACCTGGAGGCAGTACGACCAGAGACCCCATCTCCCTCTCCTAGAGGCGCCAGGTCCTGACTGACAGGCTTTTGAAAATCTCTAGCTCGGGGCTCTTCCCCTGGGGCCCCAAAGAAGTCCCTGCAGGAATTGCAGGGAGGGATGGGGGTGGGGGGGAGCTGCCCAGCTGTGAACATCTGGACTCACAGCTAGGACGTTTGCCTTGGATGTTTTCTGAGAAACCCACAGATCTGACTTCCCGGAGGGGTGAGCTGGGGTGGGCTGGAGGTCAGAGCAGGGTAAGAGGGAGGCGGGATGAGCCCAGAACGCACCGACCACAAGATCATCAATCTGGATTGGGCCATTCTGGGGTGAGAACTGATTTGGAGGCCCTTGTAACCATCCAGGGAAGGAAAAGTGTGTCATCTCAGGTCCAAGGACACCACTGGGACTCAGGTCAAGTGGTGCTCAGTTTGAATTCTGCATCTGCTAAGATGGCCTTGGAAAAATCAACCCCTTGGGGCATCACATGGCACTACCTGTAAAGTTGGGGGCATAATGGGCTGTGTTGTGAATCAGGTGCGTTTTGAGACTCAGAAAGCATGTACCGCGGTGCCGGGCACACAGTAAGTGCCGTTGTTATTGTTTCTTGGATTTAAATCTCTGAAAACGGCTTACGAAAACACTTTTAAACTTGTAACAAAGTATAAAGCCAAAGTATGAAGCCGTATGGTTTTATGTGACTAGGAAGGCCAATATAAGCAAGTCTATATACTTCCAAACATCACAGAACAAGAAACAAAAGGAAAGTACTTTTACTTATTTTTATTTAGCTTCTTTATTTGTTTTGAGAGAGCGAGGGAGAGAGAGAATCCCAAGCGGGCTCCACACTGTCAGCCCAGAGCCCGACGTGGGGCTCGAACTCACAGAACCGTGAGATCCTGACCTGAGCTGAAACCAAGAGTCAGACGCTTAACCGACTGAGCCACCCAGGCGCCACTAAAGAACTTTTAAAGCTCTCTTCCTATGTTGGATTCCTTATTCAGAACGGATATTTTTATTAATCAGACTGAGCTATATGTTTTAACCAAACGTGTAAACCAGTTTAAGAGGAACTGAGGGGTGTGCGTGTGTTTCGTACGTCATTCCTTCAGTCACCAAGAGAGTCCCAGGAGCCCAGTGGACTTTGAGATACAGAGGGGCCCCCGTGAGTGGCCGCTTGGGCTCCAGGTCCACCATTAGGGTCCCTCAGCCCCCGCCCACTCAGCCCCACTGCTTGAGATTCACTCTCTGGGTCCCTGTTTACACTTCTCCAACGTTCCTGCGGGCTGGGCTTTGGAGCCAGGGTGGCTCAGCCAGAGTGAGTTAGAAAGAAGGGACGCGTTTCACCCCTGGGCATAAGCCCTGGGAGCCCAGTGAGGAGCCCTCCGGGCCGAATGTGGTCCACTTGCCTTGCCCCCACCTGCGTGGCCCCACTCAGCCTTGACCTTGAAGGTTAGTGTTTGCAGGCACAACCTGGCAGATTGAAAACAGGCCCCTTGACATCAGGAATGCCGCCCCGCTCCCAGGTCTGTGCTCTGATGCCCACACCGGACTTGGGTCGCAAAGATTGCGGGCATAGCCGAAGTCACATGCAGTCACTTGGGAAGTAGGAACAGACGTGGTGACAGTGAGCCAGTGTGTCCTGTGATGGGCTGTCATCACCCTGTGGAAACAGACAGCTGCCCCAGGGGGAGGGTCAGCAATCAGAGGTGATGTTTGACCAGAAAAAACACATTCACCCTGGGGGTGGGGGCAGGGGGGTGGGAACACTCCAGGGCAGGTAAGAGAGAAAGTCAAGAAAGGGTGAATGGTCCAGGGTGGTCAAAAAAAGAAGTTAAAGCCAGAGAGATTTGCTAGTAGAGAGCCATGTAAGGCTTTTGAGTAGGAGGGAGATGGTCAGATTTATGCTCTAGAAATATCAATCCAGGGGCAGGGCAGGAGGCCAGATTGGAGACCACTGCGGCCCCACCCCTGCCTTGCCCCACTGCCTGAACCATGTCCTGGTTTTGGAAGTGGGACAGAGAGAGATTCTGGCGATAGAATCAAGGCTTGATTGGATCTGGAGGCTGAAGCAGAGAAGAGGATGCGGGCTTGTGGGCTGGGCTGGGACATGGGCAGAGCCAAGTGGCGAAGAGCCGGGGCCCTGGATCCAGGTCCCAGCTCCGCTGCTGTGCAACCCTGAACGAGTGACTTCACCTCTCTGAACCTTTGTTTCCTCATCTGTCGGGATAGTAATGGTGCCTCTCCCCCAGCAGCTGGGAGGATTCCGAAGTGAGCGGGCAGGGTAGGTCTTGATAAACGTCTGCTCCGATTGTCCCTCTGACCCCCCTGTCTCCTGGAACCCACCCTACGCTCTGACCATTGCCGCCGTCTCCCGTCCACAGCAGAGCTGCCCTGGACCCCCGGGACTTGGGCCCTCCCGGGAGAAATGGATCCCACGTGGGGGAGGTAACTGGGGTGTGGCCCAGTGGCAGGCCAGGCCCTGGGCTGGGACCAGCAAGCGGCCGCACTGGGGGTGGGGAGCCGGAGGACCCGCAGGAGCCTCGCTCTTGAGGGAAATTAATCATTTGTGAGGTGAGCAGGGCAGGGCTGCCCTTTGCTCCCCCAGGTGTGTGGGCGGAGTGGGGAGGGGCGGTCAGGACTGTCGGTCCCATCCCTGCGCCCAAGTCACCTAGTGGACACCCGCCCTTCCCTACAGGACACCCCCAGGCCCTTTGTCTCTGGTGGGGCCGGGCTGCCTGTCTGTCTGTCTGTCTGTCTGGGCGGAGCACATCCCTGTGCCCTGAGCCCTGCCCCGCTCTGTCCCCAGCCCCCCAGGAACGGAGACGATGGCCTTGAAGCCGGAGAAGAGGGTTGCCTCGTCTGTCTTCATCACGCTGGCACCGCCGCGTCGAGACGAGGCCGTGGCTGCGGAAGTGAGGCGGGCGGCTTGCGAGGCCCGGTCTGGCCGCTCCCGGGAGCCTCCCGCTCCCACCGAGGCTGCCGGGGCCGGGTCAGCAGGGAGGCCCGGCCCTCGGACCCCACCGGCCAGGGCGGCCGCCCCAGGCCCAGCGGTGCCACCTCAGCTCTCCAATGGAGGTGAGAGGGTGAGGGGGCTGGGCCGACGGCTGGCTCGGAGGCAGCACTGAGGTGGGGAGGAAGGGGCCGACCCTGAGGTCGTTTGTTCATTCATCAAGCACCTACTACGTGCGGGGCAGATGCAACCCCACCTGCCTGGGTTTGAATCCTGGCTCTTCTCTGTCCCCCGGTTTCCTAACCTATAAAGTGGGCATAATGATAGCACCTTCCCCAGAGGGTTGTTGTGAGGATTGGAGAAAATAAAACATACGTTTAGGCCAGTGCCTGTCACATAGAAAGTGTTAAATGTGTTACCTGCTGTTACTGTTCTGGGCCAGGCACTGAGGACGAGTAAAGAAAGACAAGGCTTTCAGCCTACATGAAACTTAAATCTTAGCAGGGGAAAACAGATGACAAAATTATATAATGTTAGGGAGACATGAGAGCTGTACACGAATAAAACATGGTGAAGAGGCGGGAGGTACAACTTTTTATGGGGTAGTCGGCATGGCTTCTCCAAGGTGGTGATATTTCAGCTCTGCCTGGACCTGATTGACAGAATAGAGCTGGCCAGCGGGAACAGCAAATGCAAAGGCCCTGAGGCAGGAACGAATCAGGCATTTGAAGGACCTCAGAGGTGGTTTTATTCTCCCATGGGCTCTGCCACTCACGTGCTGTGTGGTCTTACACTAGCTGTTTCTTCGCTTGGTTTCCTGCTCTGGAAAGTAGAAATTTGGTCGTGTGTGTGATGTGTCCATCACAGAATGGATCAACGTCATAAATGGCTGTTCTTTACCTTGTGCTTGCTCTGCTGTCATGGTGACAGGGCAGGAGGCAGGACTGGGGACCTTGGGACTCCCCTCCCACCCCTGCCTTACCCCGGTGCCTGAACCAGGGCTTGGTTTTGGAGATGGATAGAATCAAGGCTTGATTGGATCTGGAGGCTCCAGAGAAGAGGATGCGGGCTTGTGGTCTGGCCTGGGACAGGGGCAGAGGCAAGTGGCCAAGAGCCGGGGCCCTGGATCCAGGTCCCAGCTCCGCTGCTGTGCGACCCTGAACAAGTGACTTCACCTCTCTGAACCTTTGTTTCCTCATCTGTCGGGATAGTAATGGTGCCTCTCCCCCAGCAGCTGGGAGGATTCCGAAGTGAGCGGGCAGGGTAGGTCTTGATAAACGTCTGCTCCATTGTCCTTCTGACCCCCCGCCTCCTGGAACCCACCCCTACGCTCTGACCATTGATGCCGTCTCCTTCCCTCTCCCTTGGAGAGGGAGTCCAGGAGATAGAGTTTAGATGCCCAAACGCCAACATTTCCAGGACCTTTTCGTGGGTCACCGGGTCCCGGGAGTGTGGCAACAAAATCAGAGCTTCGCTGGGAGGGGGCGCCCGGCTTGCCAAGCTGGCAAGTGGGCAGAGTGAGGGTAATCGTGGGGCTCGGCGTCACTGGAGTGAGGTTCTAGGTGAGCGGCTTGGCCATGAGTCTGGTCTGAGCACTGAACACAAGGCGGGCGCCAGCTCCACTGCAGGCTGTCCCCGGACGCCCCACCCAGCACTAGTCCCCGGGGCAGTCCACACACGTTTCTGTGGCCCTTGCCTCCTGGCAGTGGTCCCCACCTTTCCCTTGCAGGCCCCCCACTCCCCTCCAGATGCTCGCACAGGCGCGCTGACACAGACAGGCGCATGAGCTCGCGTTCAGAAGTCAGTTTTTCTCTTGGCTTCTCTTCTCTTTGCTTCTGCTTCTTCTGCTCGTGGCCACTTGAACAGAATCGCCCTCGTTTAGCCCGGGCCCCTCCGCACCCCTGCCTGGTGGCCTCAAGCCCCTCTCTGTCTTGAATTCCTGTCCTGGCTGGGGACAGAAGAAGGCAGGTCCTGGGAGAGGCCTGAGCGCGCCTGCTGCCTCTCCGCGATCCGGTTCCTGACTCACTTGAGCTCATCTGGAGCGAGGTTCTCGCACTGCAACAGCCTCGGCATCTGAGGGGGCTTGTTCAAACACAGCCAGCTGGGCCCCACCCTGGGTGTTGAGTCAGCAGGTCTGCGGTGGGGCCAGAGAATTCGGATTTCTTACACATTTCCAGGTAATGTTGATGCTCCTGTCGGGAACCGCACACTTGAGAACTAGTGTGTTATCCCAAAGGCAGTAAAGCAGGGGAAGCTTGGGGAGTAGAAGACTGGTTTTCTTTCTTTCTTTTTTTTTAAGTTTATTTATTTATTTTGAGAGAGAGAGAGAGAGCTGGGGAGGATCAGAGAGAGGGAGAACCCCAAGCAGGCTCTGCACTGTCAGCACAGAGCCCATGAGGGGCTCAAACTCATGAACCATGAGATCATGACCTGAGCTGACATCATGGCTTGGACACTTAACCGACTGAGCCTTTCAGGCGCCCTTGGAAGGCTAGTCTTCAAAGTGTGGCCTTTGTGGGGTGCCTCGGTGGCTCAGTCAAACAATCTGACTCGATTTCAGCTCAGGTCATGATCTCACAGTTCATAAGTTTGAACCCTGTGTCTGGCTTTGTGCTGACAGTGCAGAGCCTGCTTGGGGTTCTGTCTCTCTCTCCCTGTCTCTGTCCCTCTGCCATCTGTGCTGTCTCAGTTTCTCTCAAAAGAAATAAACTTTAAATTTTTAAAAATGTTTTATTTAATTATGAGAGAGAGAGAGAGACAGTGTGAGCAGGGGAGAGTCAGAGAGAGAGGGAGACACAGAATCGAAGCAGGCTCCAGGCTCTGAGCTAGCTGTCAGCATAGAGCCTGATGAGGGGCTCGAACCCACGAACCATGAGATCATGACCTGAGCCGAAGTCAGATGCTTAACCGACTGAGCCACCCAGGCGCCCCGAAATAAACTTAAAAAAAAAAAAAAGTGTGGCCTTTGAACCAGCAGCTTCACCTGGGAACTTTTCAAAAATGGAAATTATCAGGCGCTTGCCCCCAAGCCTGCTGAGTCAGAAGCTCTGGGGGTGGGGCCCACCATCTGCATTTGAGCAAGCCCCCAGATGATTCTGTGGCTTACTCACAGGTCTAGAATAATCTTCCCATCTGTACAGTCCCTCAGTCCTTGGGAGAAAGCAGAAGGGGCTCATTATCTTTCTCGAATGGACAAGAAACCCGAAGCCTAGAGAGGTGCCCCAGGGAATCAGCCGGGAATGGCACAGAGCCCCGGTCTCTAGGGGACTGGGGGGCTGGGCCTCGGGCACTTTCCATCTGCTTTCCATGAGTGTGAAGCCTCTCTGACCTTCCCTGACTTGTGCCCCAGACATAGGAGGGGGGTGGAGGGCAGACGGACTGACTCTGTGCCCTCCCTCCCTGGGGCACTAAGAATAGCACTCTCCCTGCACAGAGGATTTTCAGGGCCTGACCCCCAGTCTCCTCCTCCAGGGAGCGGGCAGGGCCTGCACAGGGCAGCCTGGAGGGTGGGAGCAGAGCCTGAGGCTGAGGCCGTAACTGGGTGAGACCCAGCCCTCCTCCTCCCCTGTGGGAAGCCCTGGGAGCCAGCCTCCTAGCCCCACACCCCTCCCGTCTGTGGGCCTCAGCCTTCCCTGCAGGTGTGAAGCTGCACTGACCTTGAACGGGACTTGGTGCCAGGGTGCTTTTCTTGGGTGTGTACTAACTAGTGTTTGCTATTGGGTTGTTTTTTTTTTTTTCTTATGAAACTTTCAAACATACACAAATAAGAGAGCAGCCATAGGAATCCTGTGCACCCTGCATCTGGTTCCTACAGAGGCTAAGATTTTGCCGCATTTGTATCATCTATTCCTTTTCTGTTTTCTCTATTACTTTTGTTTCGTGAAGTGACTTATTTTTAAATTTTATTTAAATCCAAGTTAGCATATGTAAGATTTTTTTTAAATGTTTTTATGTTTATTTATTATTGGGACAGAGAGAAACAGAGCGTGAGCAGAGGAGGGGCAGCGAGAGAGGGAGACACAGAACCTGAAGCAGGTTCCAGGGTCCGAGCTGTCAGCACAGAGCCTGACGCGGGGCTCGAACCCACAAACCGAGGGATCATGACCTGAGCCAAAGCCAGATGTTCAACCGATGGAGCTGCCCAGGCGCCCTCAAGTTAGTTAGCATATAGTGTAACAGTGGTTTCAGGAGTAGAATTTAGTGATTCATCACTTACGTATAGCACCCAGTGCTCATCCCAGTGAGTGCCCTCCCTAATGCCCATCCCCCATTTAGCCATTTAGCCCTTTCCCCCCACCACCCACCTCCCCTCCAGCAACCCTCAGTTTGTTCTCTATGTTCGGCGTGGGGCGCCTGGGTGGCTCACTCGGTTGAGCATCTGACTTCAGCTCAGGTCATGATCCCACGGTTTGTGGGTTCGAGCCCCATATCAGCATCGCTGATGGCAGCACGGAGCTCGCTTCGGAGCCTCTGTCTCCCTCTCTTTCTCTGGACCTCCCCCACTTGTGCTCTCTCTCAAAAATAAATAAACATTAAAAAATTTTAGAAAAAGAGTCTCTTATGGGTTTGCCTCCCTCTATGTTTTTATCTTATTTTTCCTTCCCTTCTCAGAACTATGTTCATCTATTTTGTTTCTTAAATGCCACATGGGTGACATCATACGATATTTGTCTTTCTCTGACTCACTCTTTTCGCTTAGCATAACACCCTCTAGTTCTATCTACATTGTTGCAAATGACAAGATTTCATTCTTTTTCATCCCCAAGTAATATTCCATTGTGTGTATATACCACATCTTCTTTATCCATTCATCAGTTGATGGACATTTGGACTCCTTCCATACTGTGGCCCTTATTGATAACCTTTGTGAAGTAATTTAATGGAAACCTCAGTTAATGGGGTCAGTTTAGTCCCCATATTCTTCAGGGCACATCTCCAAAGATGGCCATTATCTAATATTCTCTCCATTCTTAATTTTCCCTGACATGCCATAAAAATACCTTTCAAGTGTTGCACTGTAGCAGAATGAAGGGTTTGTATACTGTATATTTGTGTTGTATTTTGTATATATTTCTAGCCTATTCGGTGGAATAGTTCACTCTTCCTCATCTATAAAACAAGAATTCATGAGATGATTAATCCTTTGAATCAGGATCCAGAAAAGGTCTGTGTCAGCACTGGCCAATGAAAATATAAAGCAAGTCACAAATGCAAGCCCCATATGTAATTTAAAATGTTCTAGGGGCACCTGGGTGGCACAGTCGGTTGGGCATCCGACGTCGGTTCAGGTCATGATCTCGCAGCTCGTGGATTCGAGCCCCGTGTGGGGCTCTGCCCAACAGCTTGGAGCCTGGAGGCTGCTTCAGATTGTATGTCTCCCTCTCTCTCTGCCCCTCCCCTGCTCATGTTCTGTCTCTCTCTCACTCTCAAAAATAAATAGACATTTAAAAAATTAAAAAATAAATGTTCTAGTATTTGCATGGAAAAAAAGTCAAAAGGAATAAGTGATACTAATTTTTAATACATTTTTAAATGTTTTTATTTACTTTTGAGAGAGAGCAAGCGGGAAAGGGGCAGAGAGAGGGAGACACCGACTGAAGCAGGCTCCAGGCTCTGAGCTGTCAGCACAGAGCCCGATGCGGGGCCTGAGCCCACGGACTCTGAGATCATGAGCTGAGCCGAAGTCGGATGCTTAACCGACTGAGCCACCCAGGCGCCCGTGTTCTGGAGGGTTCTGACAGGTGCTGTTTTCCGTGCTGCACCATCTTCCCTGCACCACATCACTTAACCCTCACAACAGCCCTAAGAGATAGATTGACAGACCCAGAGAGACTGAGTCTCTTGCCTAAGGACCCACAGCAAGTCAGTGGCAGAGCCCGAGGCAGAACCCAGGTCTCGGCGCCCCTGGGCCCGAGCTCTTAGCCCCCCATGCTGCACGGCCTTCTGGGGAAGTGGACACCTCTCTGTCCACCTGCACAGAGCGTCTCCGGCCAAACCTGTGTCCCCTTTCTGTTGCAGGGTGCTGTCTCCCTCCTCCCACTCTGGATGGCGAGGACGCACTCCCGGACCTGGACCTCCTCCCGCCTCCGCCGCCATACCCCGATGAGGAGCCCCCTGCCCCGATGGGGGCCTCCCTCATTTCGGACTTAGAGCAGCTGCACCTGCCCCCGCCCCCGCCCCAGGTACTGCCAACCCCACAAACAGCCCCGCCGGCCGGGGGCGGGCGAGGGCGGGTCTGGGCCTTGCAGGGACTTAAGCCTGGAGGTTGCTCCTGCTTGAGGGCCGTCCCTCTTCCAAGCTTTCAAGCTGCCAAAACTTGGTCATGTTCTTCAAGGTCCCTGGGGAAGGGGCTCCCCACCCTCTTCCCCCTCAGGTACCCCTTTCAGCTCTGAGAAGATATTTTTTTCATTTTTTTTTTTTAATGTTACTTGTTTTTGAGAGAGAAAGAAAGCGAGCAGGGGAGGAGCATAGAGAGACGGAGACACAGAATCCGAACAGGCTCCAGCATCTGCGCGGTCAGCACAGAGCCCAGTCCGGGCCTCGAACCCACAAACTGTGAAATCATGACCTGAGCAAAAGGCAGCCGCTTAACGGACTGAGCCACCCAGGTGTTCCGACAGAGAAGATATTTTTAATCCTCTACCCTTAACAGAGGCCATTGTAGACATGGGAGGGATTCCAGGCCAAGGAAAAACGATTCCAGGCGATTCCTCAGAAGGATGTTGTTTCTGGCCCGGCTGCTACCTTCCTACTGAGTCACATTAGGTCACATGCTTCTCTGTGCCTCGGTTTCCCCCTCTGAGCAGTGGGGCTAATGGTGCGCAGCGCCGCCGGAGGAGGCGCAGAGCTGAGAGGCCCGTGTGGGGTCCGCACTGGATGTCACCTCTCCTGCCCCCTCCTCCGTGTCCCCGCAGTCCCTGGAAGAGAGGCCTCCCCTCCAGCCGCAGCCCAGTCCTCCCAGGCCCGTGCAGGAAGAGCTGCCGCCTCTCCCTGAAGACCCTGCTGGCTTCCACAAGAGAGAGGCGTCCACAGGTACGGGCTCGGGGCTGGGAGGCTCCCTGGGGACCCCCCACTGGAGCAGCATGAGCTCTGGGTGGGAAAGCGGGAGAGCAGGGTTCACAGCATCTGTCTCCACTCACGGTGCAGTGACAGACGAGCCTTCAAACTGTACATCGATTTTATTTTTACTGCCGTAACCTTTTTTCCTTTATAACTGAAGTCCGTTTAAGTATCGATCAGCAAGGGCTGCCTGAGTGGCTCAGTCGCTTAAGCATCTGACTTTTGGTTTCGGCTCAGGTCGTGATCTCACGGTTCGCAGGTTCGAGCCCCACGTCGGGCTCGGCATTGTTGGTGCAGAGCCTGTTTGGGATTCTCTCTCCCTCTCTCTCTGCTGCTCCTCTGCGCTCTCTCTCTCTCTCTCAAAATTAAAAAATAAAAAACTGTAAAATAAATAAATAAATATGGGCCGCTGGCTGACACGGTTGAGCATCTGACTTTGGCTCAGGTCATGATCTCATGGTTTGTGGGTTTGAGCCCCGTGTGGAGCTCTCTGCCGTCAGCACAGAGCCTGCATCAGATCCTCTGTCCCCGGCACTCTCGGCCCCTCCCCAGCTTGTGCTCTCTCTCTCTCTCTCTCAAAATTAAAAAATAAAAAACTGTAAAATAAATAAATAAATATGGGCCGCTGGCTGACACGGTTGAGCATCTGACTTTGGCTCAGGTCATGATCTCATGGTTTGTGGGTTTGAGCCCCGTGTGGAGCTCTCTGCCGTCAGCACAGAGCCTGCATCAGATCCTCTGTCCCCGGCACTCTCGGCCCCTCCCCAGCTTGTGCTCTCTCTCTCTCTCTCTCAAAGATACACATTTAAAAATAAGTAAATAAATATTGATCTGCAAAATGTGTTGTGATAGCAGAATGGCTCGAATTTTTCCGCTGTTTAATTATTTGAACACATGGTGTTCTCATCTGGACAAAACAGAAAGCATGAAAAGATACACCGTGAAAAGCCTTCCCTTTGCCCCCATCCCTGTGTCACCCAGTTTCCTGCCTGATCAGGAGCCTCTGTTGTTAAGGTTTTGCACATCCTCCAGGAGATATGTTATGTGTACACAAGCAAATGCAAGCATGTGTCCCCCCCCACTGACCTCCGCCCATTTTTCCACAAATAATAGCAAACTCTGTGCCGTTCTGCTGTTAGCTTTCTGAGAGCTCATTCCACATCAGAACGTAAAGTGGCTCCTCCCTTTTTCACGGGGGCATAGTATTCCCTTTCAGGGCTCTGCCGTATGCATTCGACCAGTCACCTGCAGGTGGGCACTTAGGTTCTTGCTGTAACAAGTAAGGCTGAGACGAATTGCCCTGCACGTAGGTCATTTTGCCTGCATGCAAGTTTGTGAGAGAAATTTCTAGGAGAGGAAATACTGTGGGCAAAGAGTAGGTGCATTTGTAATTTGATCTTTTTGCTAAATTGCCCTTTGTGGGACTCCGGATCTGCGCCCCAGTGAGGGCATGACTGCCCGTGGTGTCCCTGGCCCCACATATTACCCATTTAATTAGCAGCGATTAAGTGTTTACCATGCCCCCAAAGTTATAAAATAATTATCTGGGGGCGCCTGGGTGGCTCAGGCAGTTCAGCATCTGACTTCGGCTCAGGTCATGATCTTATGGTTCATGGGTTCAAGCCCCGTGTCAGGCTCTGTGCTGACAGCTTGGAGCCTGGAGCCTGCTTCAGATTCTGTGTCTTCCTCTCTCTCTGCCCCTCCCCGCTTGTGTTCTGCCTTCCTCTGTCTCTCAAAAACAAATAAATGTAAACAAATTTAAAAAAATTATTCTCTGGTTTCTTCTAGTCCTGTGGCTTTATTTTTCACACTTAGATCTCTGATATGTTTGGAATTGTCTGGGTATAAATGCATCACGGTGGACCCTCCTTTAAATGTTTGTAGATGGTAACCTGTTTGTCCTGATGCTGTGTTCTTCTTTTTTGAATGTTTATTTATTTATTGAGAGAGAGAAAAAGAGAGAGAGAGAGAGAGAGAGAGGAGGAGGGGCAGAGAGAGGGAGAGAGAATCCCAAACATACTCCATGCTGTCAGTGCAGAGCTCTGTGCGGGGCTCAAACTCACAAACTGCAATATCGTGACCTGAGCCGAAATCAAGAGCCAAACACTTAAGTGACTGAGCCACCCAAGCACCCCCTTGACTCTGTGTTCTTTGATTTAGGCTTTCTTTCCTTTTTTTTTATGATTTAATTTTTAAAAATTTTTAATGTTTATTTATTTTTGAGAAAGAGAGTGCAAGCAGGGGAGGGGCAGAGAGAGAGGGAGACACAGAATCCAAAGCAGGCTCCAGGCTCTGAGCTGTCGGCACAGAGCCTAACACAGGGCTCAAGTTCATGAACCGTGAGATCATGACCTGAGCCAAAGTTGGACGCTCAACCACTGAGGCACCCAGGCGCCCCTAAGATTTTATTTTTAAGTAATCTCTACACCCAATGTGGGGCTCAAACCCACAACCCCAAGATCAAGAGTCGCATGCTCCACCAACGGAGCCAGCCAGGCCGCCCTGGTTTAGGCTTTCAGAGGCTGTTCACACTCCTTCCTGTTCCCCCCGAAAGGAGGCCACACTCACACCCCCGGGGGCTTGTTCTGGGTGGTGCCTGGGTACAGTACTCCCAGGCCAGGCGGCTCACACCTGTGTCTCTACCCCAGACGTCTGTGCCTTCTGCCACAAGCCCGTGTCCCCCCAAGAGGTGGCCGTGGAAGCCATGAAGAGGCAGTACCATCCCCGGTGCTTCACATGCCGCACCTGTCGCCGCCAGCTGGCCGGGCAGAGCTTCTACCAGAAGGATGGGCGGCCCCTCTGTGAATCCTGCTACCAGGTAACCCCCTGCAGCTAGGCCTCCGGGTACCAGGCGCTGTGCTGGGCCTGTAGAACATGTCCTATTATTCCATCCCCCACAGTAATCCTGGGAGGCAGGCACTCTTGACCCATTTCACAGATGAGGAAGCTGAGATCAGAGAGAGGAAGCTCAGCCAAGATGTGATAGTTCTCTGTGGCCACTCTAACAAATTACCGCAAACTTGATGGCTTCAAAAAGCACACATTTATTCTCTTATGGTTCTGGAGGTCGGAAGTCCAAGGGCAAGTCCGTACTTCCTTCCAGAGGCTCTACGGGAGAATCTGTTTCCTTACCTTTTCCAGCTTCAGAAGCCACATCCCTTGTAGACTCTGATTTCTTTGCCCACCTTCAGAGTCACAGGGGGGCATCTTGCCTCAGCATCCTGTTTCCTTCTTCTGTGTCACGTCTCCCTCTGTGTCCCTCTTACATGGACCCTTCGGATGGCATTTAGGGTCCAACCAGGATAATCTCCCGTGTCAGGACTCAATCATATCTGCAGTCTCCTTTGCCAATGAAGGTAGTCACAGGTTCAGGGATGAGGACCTGTGTGTCTTGGGGGCATTTACCCAGCCTGTCACATAAGGTCACAGTCCCGAAGGCCGTAGGTCTGGGATTCTGCCCCAGGCCCATCTGGTTCTGGAGCCTGCCCGTGGTCTTCTGTCGCACCTAAAGCCACAGGCTCCGACACACAGCCCCATGGGAATCTGTATCACTTCCGGTACCAAACGCAGTCTGGGAGAGCTGGTTTGGATGCCACGACGTTAGAATCGCCAGCTCTCTGGTACGTGGTGCACAGACCACTCACAGACCCGTCGCCTGGGTGTGTGCAGGCCTCACCTTGTTCTCCTGAGTGGGTAGCACCTGGCGAGCTGCACTGGTTTTAACAGAGCACCCTCAGGCAATTCTGATCCACATCGCAGTTTGAAAACTACTGATTCAAGGAGTTAGAATGTTTGGAGCTGGAATGATCTAGAAAAATCCGAGTGATCTGATGATAGTCTCGAGACATTGCCACAGCCAGCAAGGCACCATGGGAGCAGCAAGGAGTCAGGCCATCCCCACCCATCCCTCTGACCCCACCCCCATGACAGTGGGGGACAGTCTTGTCCTCTTCCGTCGCCTTGCAGCCAGGCAGAGGGGAGGCGCTGAGGGCAAGCAGGGGCCAGGGTGGGCTGACAGCTGGGAGCAGCAGGAGGAAGACTCGGGCAGTGCTCTAGGGAGGGAAGGGCTGCCCCCGGCACAGGGAGAGGGGACAGTGCTGTCCCCGTCAAATGTGAGCAGATTATAGGCAGTCTAGGCAAACATCCCTATCTGTCCAGATGAAGTCAGGTTAAACGTACAGGAGCACAGCCAGGAATGGAAGAGACCATCTAGAAAAGAGGTGAGAAGGTGGACAGGCTGGAGGGTCTCCCCTCAGTAACCTCTCTCTCTCTTCTCTCCCTTCCCCCCCCCCCCCCCCCCCCCCCCCCCCCCCCCCCCCCCCCCCCCCCCCCGGCCTTAAACCTCCTCGTCCCAGAAGGGATTTGAGGCAGATTCTAAGAATGCACCAATTCCTCTATCTATGGTAATGTTGTACACATAAGCATTTGTTGAGAGGGTGGATCTCATGTTAAGTGCTCTTACCACAGTAACATTTAAAAGATACATAAAGAAATCAGAAGGGTATCTGGGTGGCTCCGTTGGCTAAGCATCTGACTCTTGATTTAGGGTCAGGTCATGATCCCACCTTTCCTGGGATTGAACTAGGCTCTGCACTGACAGCATGGTCTGCTTGGGATTCTCTCTCTCCCTCTCCCTCTCTGCCCCTCCCCTACTCATGCTCTCTCTCTCTCTCTCTCTCAAAATAAATAAATAAGCTTAAAAAAAAATCATGGGCACCTGGATGGTTCAGTCGGTTAAGCATCTGACTTCGGCTCAGGTCATGATGTCGCAGTTTGTGAGTTTTGAGCCCCACATCGGGCTCTGTGCTGACAGCCCTTGAGCCCACTTTGGATCCTCTGTCTCCCTCTCTCTGCCCCTCTCCACTCACACTCATGAGCTATTTCTCTCTCTCTCTCTCTCTCTCTCTCAAAAACAAACATTAAATTAAAAAAAGATAAAAATACCAGAAGAGAGGAAAATCAAAGTAGAAAATGAGAGGAGACCAGCAGAAAAGTTCGTACCCCAAATATATGAATAAAAGACCCCTGTAGTCATTCCTAAAAGTGGAACATGGAATTTGACTCTGAGATTTCACGTGGCCAAATGGAAAAGGTTAAGAGTTTCAAGGTTTATTGCCTACACGATAAAAAGCGTATCAGCTCCTCCAGGAATTCCTCTTCCTGACTCTGAGGTTTAAGAGAGATTTCTCCCACGGGCCCTAGTGGCCTTAAGCAAGTCTTAGTGACAAAGAATGCAGCAGTAGCTTCTCGGCAGGATTCCTCACCGTTGGCCAAGGCTCCCATGCCAAGCTCGATTCACTTTAATCAACGGTAGAAGTGTGGGGGTAACAGGTACAGGCGGAGCCCCTCTCCTGTACCCCCGCCCGTCTGGGCCGCTGTGGGTAGCCAGCCAGAAACCCCTTTTGGCTCGGAGCGGGCACCCCCATGGGGTGGTTCTGAGGCAATGTCCCTCTGTCCCAGGACACCCTGGAGAAGTGTGGCAAGTGTGGCGAGGTGGTCCGGGAACACATCATCCGGGCCCTGGACCAGGCCTTCCACCCCGCCTGCTTCACCTGTGTCACCTGTGCACGCTGCATTGGCGACGAGAGCTTCGCCCTGGACAACCAGAATGAAGTGTACTGCCTGGACGACTTCTACAGGTACGACAGGGGACTCCTGCGCTGGGTGGGACTCTGCCAGAGCAGAGGCGCCCAGCCGGAGCTCTCGGGGCCGGGGCGGAGCTTCCCTGCGGCGTCTGGGCTCCCAGAAACCAGGCGGCCTGTTCCGCACACCTGCTTGTAGCTGACGCTCTGGGCACCTGCCCCGGGCCAGCCGCTGCACGCAGATGAGGCCCTTGAACCCCCGAGCCTGCCCTGTCAGGCACGTAGTGTTAAGGGTTCTGTTTTACAATGTGGAAACTGAGGCAGGCAGCAGCTAGGTCTCCCAGCTGGCAAGTGTGAAGCGACGATTCAAACCCCCAGACCCCGGTATCCCCCCTCGGAACTAGAGCTTTAGGAAGCAGGAGCCCCACGCTGTGCCTGAGGCTCAGCCTCTGCTATGGAGTTCCTCCCTGCCCAAGGGCAGCTGTGCCTGTTAGAAAGAAAGGAAGAAGAAGGGGAAAAAAACCAGTGACCTACGGTACAAGGTAAAGGGAATGGTGTTCAGCCCCAATGAACACACAACAGATTTCTCTGCTTTCTCAAATTCAAACACTGCCCCGGTTCCTTCCTCGGCACCCCGGCTGATTATACCCTGGGAAGCCAGGTCTGGTTACACAGGTCTCTCCATCGGCTCCTGCCGGGAAGAAAGAGGCATTTGTGGCCGTGGCTCCAGGTGCAGTCACCTGGCAACGCGTCCGAAATAGCTCCGGATGCGAACCGGAGCCGCCCGGCTCCCACATCTAATTTCTGTGGTCCTGGGCTGAGCGTCTCGGGCGTGGGTTCCCGTCCCTCTAGGAAATTCGCCCCCATGTGCAGCATCTGTGAGAACCCCATCATCCCTCGAGACGGGAAGGACACCTTCAAAATCGAGTGCATGGGGAAGAACTTCCATGAAAATTGCTACCGGTGCGAGGTGAGTGGGGCGGTGAGGAGGTAGGTGGGCCCGGAGCCCCGCCGAGACCCCGCTGGGCACTGGGACACGTGGGCGGTCAGGGCAGGGGGCTCTGCTCTCGATTGCTCACCGCCCAGTGGCAGAGACAGATAGGGATGGAGGTAATTCCAGAAGCTCCCAGTTAGTGATAAAACCCAGGCTCCTCCAGCTTTTCCTCAAGAAAGGGAATCTCATGGGGAGGCCGATGGCGGGGCTGCTGATGGGACAATCAGGGCGCGCTCTCCATCTCCCGGTTCTGCCTGTTTTGTGCGTTTGCTTTATTTCCTCTTCCCGTGGGCCAGCATCCCCTGTGAGGAGGCGGATACACGCGCCGCGCCGATGGCCAAGGTTTAACATCCTTCCAGCGTGGAGACCGTGTCTCAGGAACGGGTACAGTCCCAGGAAGGCCTCTGATTGGCCCTGCCTGGGTCCTGTGCCCACTCTGGACCAGTCACTGGCCGGGGTTATGATGGGCAACCCCGGGGGCCAGGGAAGCAGATCCATTAGGACAGAGAGGAGTTGCCACAACCCTTAGGAAGGGGGGGTGCTGGGCAGCCCCACAGCACAGACATCCTCTCTGGGTGCTGGGGAAAGAGCATGTGCAAATCAGCTTTGGGGCAAAGAAGGCGGCGGTCAAGTCCAACCAGGGTGGCGGAATCAAAGGCGCTCTTGCAGAGGAGGTGATGCTTCACCTGGGTCCCTGCAGGATGAGTAGGAGTTTGCCAGACATTCGGGTGGGGGTGGGGGTGAAGAAGGGCCAGAAAGAAGCAAAGGCCTGTAAAGACCCGCGGCGGCACAAGCAAGCCTGAGGGATCGGAGATGTGGAAGTTTCTAGATTTGTCTGTAGTGGCGTGCACCAAAGGGTGTGGTCGCAAGGCCAGAGGAAAGAAAAGGGCCTCCCGTGCCAAGCTAAGGAGGCTGGACCTCAGGCTACAGGGTGGGGGGAGGCTGCTTCAAGCCGGTGCCGTAGTCCCGGCAAGAAAGGCCCACCGAGTTGCACAGGGTCTCCCGCTCAGTAGGGTCCCAGGCTCGCTTCAGGCAGGGCCCACATGAGCTGCTTCCTCATTGAACAAGGGGCTCCACTTGGCACTTCGCCTTGGACTCTGCGATTACAGAGTCCGTCCTGCTGCGGAGGCTTGGGAGGCTTCCCCTGCCTCTTCCCCTGTCACCCCCATGCTGCTGATGTATCTAGCTTCTCTGGGGATGGGGACAAAGGTAGCTACTTTTATGGGCACCATACGTGGGCTGTCCCAGAGGAAATCTCTTAGTCAGCCAGTGAGCAATTCCAAACATTGATTTGGTTTTGCACTCACTTAAGCAGACACACGGAGCCAAGAGGCTGTTTGCACGGCTGGGACAAGGGGGCTTGGTAGAGAAGTTGACGTACTGCCCTGTGTTACGTTGTGCATTGGTTATGGTTCAAGGGCCGGCTGATAACACATCTTGCAAGAACAGTGATGTCATTCAAGAGCTGTTATCACCATCCTGGCCCTCATTAAGCCCAGTGGGGATTCACTTCTCCCTGAGCCTGGCTGGTGAGCAAATAGACCCTCCCTGCGTGCCCTGGGTCAGCTTGGTGAAGGCGGCCGTGAGCGTGACCCAGGCTGCTGCTAGCAGTCAGAGCTCAGACTCCGGTAGTTACATTTCAGGGGAAGGGAAGGGAAATGGGCTTCAAGGTGCCATCTCAGGGGAGGGATGATAGAGAAACTGAGGCAGAGAAAAGTGGTTCCAACCCTCGCCCTTGTGACCCAGGTGTAGCCAGCTTTCCACCACCCCGCAGCTCCCTCACAGACTGTGGCTTGGTCATCATAGGGGTGTTTCCTCACTTGTTTCCAAATTAGGAGAGGTCAGGGGCGTCCAGCCGGCTCAGTTAGGGGAGTGTGTGACTCTTGATCTGGGGTCGTGAGTTTGAGCCCCGTGGTGGGTGTAGAGATTACATACATACATACATACGTAAGGACAGGTCACATGTGCCCCTTTAGGACCTCAGGTTTGGCACTTGGTACTCTCGGAATGCCAAACAAGTGGCCATTAGAAATAGCACAGATCCTTGGCATTAAATTGCCTGGAGTCCCCTGTGGGACTTGAGGTGCGGTTTCAAGGAAGAGACACATGAGGGCGCCCTTCTCCCCTGGCTGTGCCAGGCCCAGATGGTAGCCAGGACCCAACAGGACCCAAGTTGTCTCTCTGGGGACCAGCCCCTCTGGTCTGAGCCATGTGGCCCCCAGAGGACGCCAGCCGTGCCCTGAGCCAGGTCTCTGGACATTAATTGTTCCTATTGTCACTCTCTTGCGTGTGTGCCGGTGAGGCCCGGATGAAGGGTGGGCTGTGGCAGAATGGTAAGGTGGGCGGAGTTTGGGGCCCGAATCCCCATCCTCTCTGGTCCAGAATCCTTTGGTGATTTGAAAAGTTGGAAACATTGAAGTTTGTACGGTGTTGAAGCTGTGCAGACGGGAGCAAGAGAATGGCCCCTGAACTCATGACCCCTGGAGACCTGTCCTGTCCCAGCTCTCCAAACAGCTGTATGGCCTGGGGCAAGCCCATCCTTCCTCAGACCTCAGTTTCCCCATCTGTAAAATGGAGGGACTGGACTAGATCCAGTTACCCAGCACATGTTTATTGTACACTTGTGGCACCCAGGCTCTGATCTAGGTGGGATCTAGCCGTCAACGGGCTTACTGCCCCTCACAACTTGTGTTCGCAAAGGGCTGCAGGTGGTCGTTCAGGCCCTTCTAGCTCTTTCCGTGCTCCCTCAGGGTCCGTGATTCTCCGCGTGTCCTCAGCCCACTATGCCCTCCTCACTCACACCTCCGCGGGGATGAAAGCCCACGTGGCATGTGCCCCTCGTCGTCCTGCCCGAGGCCTGACCCGCGTGTGCTGGGACCGTGGGAATGAGGAGCGGCGCCCCTCGCCCTTGGCGGCGGGAGCACGTTCGGCCAGTGCATTTCATCAGCAAAGGCCGCGCCCCCGGGCTGCGGTGCTCAGGCCTGGGGTCCACCGCTCGTGCCTTGTCTCCCGCAGGACTGCAGGACCCTGCTGTCTGTGGAGCCCACAGACCAAGGCTGCTACCCGCTGAACAACCGTCTCTTCTGCAAGCCGTGCCACGTGGAGCGGAGTGCCGCCGGGTGCTGCTGAGGGCGCCCGCTGGGCCCCGGCCTGAGGGCGGCGGGGCGGGGGGACACCTTTCCTGACTCAGTTTGCCTTTCTGACCCACTTTTGCACACTTTTCCTTCTGAGCCGTGACGGGCCAGCCTGAAGCTCTGCCCACCGGGTCCAGGCTGAGCCGCCCCCGCCCCCTCCCAGCTCAGAGGCCGGGGGACAGTGCCCCTCAGGCTTTCCACTCCTCCTTCTGCCCTCTGGGCTCTGCCAGGCTTCCAGACCATGAACACCACGCCCAGAGTTCCCATGTCCTGGGCCCCAGCCCCTCTCGAGCGCTGGCCTTGACCCCCATTTCCACGAGCGAGTTGGGGTGAGTCCGTGGAGGGCTCCCTGTGCCCCGAGCAGCGACGCTTCAGCTGTCCTACAGGGGGCGCTAAGACCAGCTCTGGCTCGCCCGACTGAGCTGTTTGAGTAGAACTCCAAGGTCCTCCTTGAAAAGCCGCCTCCTCCTCTTTTTTTTTTTTTTTTAATTTGAGATTTAAATCATGAGAAACATTCTTTGGATTTGGGGCGAGGTGGGGATCTTAGTGGGAAATGTTTCATAAATGTACGAGAATGTGACCTAGTGGCGGCGGCCATGGACTTCTCACCGGGGGACACGTCATGCTGACATGGGCACCAGACCCAGGCATGAACCTGAACAGCGGGGACGGGGGGAGAGATGCCCAAGGACGTCAGCAGCCCCTCCGCCCTGCCTTCTGGCGCTCCTCCCGTGTGCGACGGTGATTCAACAGACGTTGATTAAGTGCCAATAGTTTGCTGGGGAACAGGGTACCGGGAGCTCTGCGTGTTCCTCCGACAGCCTTGACGGGGGCCATGCACACAGACACCCCCCCACACACACACGTGCACGCACTTCTCCAAGGACAGTGCCAAGGCTGGCCGTTCAGCCCACCTGCTTACCCCCCGCCCCCAAGCCCCACTTGGACCCTCCAGCCCAGGCTGCCTTGTGACCCTGCTTCCACAAGGCTGTACCTAGAAGAGTCTTCTTCCCCGTTAAGGAAAATCACTATGTTGCTTTGTAACTTCTAAGACATGTTGTAGGGCAGAACGAATGAAACAAAGTACTTCCTCCCGCCCTGGGCTCCGTACCAGTACGGGGGTAGGGGGGTGGGGTGTTTCTCTGCAGAGCCCAGACTCTTGCTCAAAGCTTGGGGAGTGAGGCCCCTACTTGGGGCACTCCCATACCACTTCCGCAATTTTTGTCCTGAGGATCTCCTAGTCTCTTATTCCTTAATATTTTCTTTGATGCACACCTACTTTTTAATTTTACTTATTTCAAATGTTAGTCTTGTGCTATGCAATATATCCTGCAGTCACACATTGATGTGTTGGTTATGTTTTTTTTCCTGTTGCATGTGAAAATAAACACGTGCCTAGTAGAAGTCCATCTGTGTTCCAACTAAGATCTCACCCAGATAAACGCTGGCCTTTGGTCATACCTGGAAAAATGTCTGTTGGGTATCTGCTCCCTGGGGCACGAGTTTACAGGTGGTGTCTCCGCTTCCTGCCCCTCCTCACGCCCAGCAAGTTTGGCTGCATGGTGCCCAGAGCAGAGCCTCTGCTGTGGGAGGCCATCCGGGGCCGCCAGATCCTTCCACAGAGTCCACACTCGCCCTCGGGACACTGTCTGCCCGTGAACAGGACCGGCGTCCCTGTGAGCTGGCTCGTCTTCTGTCTTCACGCCGGCAACGCGCTGGCGTCGTGAGCACGGCTCCAGGGAGAAGGGTGCATGGCCAGAAGGAGCTCTGGCCTCTACTGCTGAGCAGTGGAGAAGTGATCTGTCCCGAGCCTTGATTTCCCCATTTGTAACATGAGAACGATGCTGGTGCCCATCACAGAGGATGGCTGCGCCGGAGAGAAGCGCTGGGCTGGTGAGCGTTCTCCCCCAGGGCGGGCCAGCAGGTCCTGGGGGTGCCCGTCAATCAGGCCCCCGGGGACATGCCCGCAGGCCATGAAGCTGGGTTTCTGCTCCGTGCTGCAGCCCTGGAGGCCACGCGGCGTTGGGAACTGCAGGGCGTCTCTGTACGCAGGTGTTGGGGGGACACGGGCTGGTTATGAGGGATCTGGGGGAGGATTCAGAGCAGTGAGAGTTGGCCCCCACGTGTGCCGTCAGGAAGCGGGGGTGACAGGCTGAGAGGCTTGATTCATTTATATCCAGGAGGTGGCGCACAGCAGAAGGTGCTGGCCCAGAGCCTCTGTGCTCAGGACATGACCATCGTGGGCAGGGGGACCGAGCACAGCCCAGCTCCCAGCTGCTAGGGGCCACCTTGCTCTTTCAGTCACCAGGTTTGGTTTGGTTCGGGTTTTCCTATCATTAATATGTAACTTGTGCTGCGATGCTTTGTGCTCCAGCCTATTTCTGGTTGGGTGTGTTTGGGGGGATGGGATGGGGATGAAATTCCGGGGATGCTTTGGTCTTCCAGGCTGTACGTCATCTCTCCAGAAGGCAACACTTCCAGGGAGCTCTCTGTAGTGTGAAATTGGCAGGGTCACAAAAAGACAAATACTGTCTGATTCCACTTCTGTGAGGTACTTAGTGTAGCCCAGTTCATAGAGACAGAAAGTAGGAGGGTGGTCAGCTAGGGTCGGAGGGAGGGGGAAGAGGGAGTTATTTAACAAGAACAGACTTTCAGTTTGCAAGACAAAAAGTTCTGGAAATGATTGGAAGCCGTGGTTGGACGACAGCATGAAGGTGATTTTAAAAAGCCACTAAACTGTCTGTACATACTTACAAATGGTTACGATGATTCATTTAATGTCATGTATATCTTGAATTAAATATGTACGTGAAATCTATTGAATGCTCAGAGGCAGGGAGAAGGACTGATGAAGTGATGTAGGTGTCCTGAGGGTCACCCGGGGGCTTAGTCCGTTAAGCTTTGGACTCTTGGTTTCAGCTCAGGTCATGATCTCCCAGTTCGTGAGTTCAAGTCCTGCATCGGGCTCTGCTCTGACCACGTGAAGCCTACTTGGGATCCTCTCTCTGCCCTTCCCCTGCTCACTCTCTTTCTTTCTCTAGATCTCTCAAAATAAATAAACTTTAGGGGCACCTGGGTGGCTTAGTCGGTTAAGCGTCCGACTTTCACTCAGGTCATGATCTCGCGGTTCGTGGATTCGAGCCCCGCATCGGGCTCTGTGCTGACTGCCAGCTCAGAGCCTGGAGCCTGTTTCAGTCTGTGACTCCCTCTCTCTCTGACCCTCCCCTGCTCACACTGTCTCTCTCTCTCTCTCTCCTAGAAATAAATAAAACATTTAAAAATAAATAAATAAATAAATAAACTTTAAAAATTGAAAAAAATAAATAAAGTGATATCGGAGTCCTGAGAGGCTGTCCTCCCGACTGGGGTGCTCCTGAAGGCTGGCCATTGCTCTTTGCAAACCCAGGAAAATGCTCCGTGACCAAGACTTCTTGACGGCAGGTGCTGGGCCCGGCCACCAGAGGGCAGCATGGGCTAGCAAACTGGGCGTGGCGCTCTGGGGCGCCGAGGTTCTCACGCCCCTAATGGGGTCCTCGGCTTCTCCAGATGCAATAATCCCTGTCTGCCCACCGCACGCGGCTGGAGTGAGAAGGACAGAAGAAGATGAATTGGACAAGCAGAGAGTGAGCATGTGGCTGTGGAATTACTGTAGCTGGAACACACCTTCTTGGAGGGAGACCCGTGTCGGGAGAGAATTCCTCATCTGCCCAAACGGCCACCAGCTAGGAGGGTCCCATCTGGGACCTCCCACGCTGCCAGCCTCTAGGTCGCTGCCTGGGAGCCCGGACTCAGTAAGCACAGAGTCGGGATGAAGGACCGCATGACGTTGCGGGTAACACGGAGGCCTGATGGTCACCTCCCCCACAGGGTTCTCCTAACCCAAAAGCCACGCCTAGGTGTCAAGAGGCACCAGCATGCGCCAGCCCTTCCACAGCAACAAAGTGCTGTCCCTTCCTCTGCTGGGGACACAAGTGGTGGAGATGAGGGATTAATGGAGAGGAGAAGGGGATCAGGATGAAGGGGGAGAGAAGGCTGGGCTGATAGGGAAGAGCCCCAGTGACCACAGGATATTTTCAAAGTCATGGTTTTATCCATTTAAAGTGCAGTTTTTCGGGCGCCTGGGTGGTGTAGTCGGTTAAGCGTCCGACTCTTGACCTTGGCTCTCTCGTCATGATCTCACAGTTTGTGAGTTCGCGCCCTGCATCTGGCTCTGAGCTGATGGCATGGAGCCTGCTTGGGATTCTGTCTCTCCTCTCTGCCCCTCCCCCTCTTATGCCCCCATGCTCTCTCTTTCTCAAAATAAATTAAAAAATTGAAAAGTAAAATAAAAGACAGTTCTCATAAGGTGAGGGGCTGCTCATTAAAAAATAACAATTTATGAAGTAGGTACTATTAATGTCCCAGTTCAAAGGCAAGGAAGCTACACATCAGAGAGCTGGTGTAATTACCCAAGGCTGCACAGCAGAGTCAGTACCAAACCGGGTCCAGTGAAAACTACAGGTCACATCACAAACACATTCTAGAATGTTCCAGCACCCATTGTGTAACAGATGCCTAAATCCAGCTGAAAAACTGTGTGTCAACTAAAAAAAAAAAAAAAAAGAAGAAAGAAAGAAAAAAAAAATCCAGGGACACCTGGCTGGCTCAGTCAGCAAAGCATGTGACTCTTGATCTCAGGGTTATGAGTTGGAGCCCAATGTTGGGCATGGAGCCTACTTTAAAAAAAAAAAAAAATCCAGCTGGAAAAAACCCTTAACTGTCTTGGGCCCCTCATCTTTTAGGCTGTAGGCCTCTTACTTGCAAGTGAGAAGTAATTTCCCTGACTCTTTCAGAAAGGACCTTGCATCATTCATAGTGTGTGACTCATACTCAACTCGTGAATGATCATCAGATTAGAGACCACGGAGTGTACCTATTTGTGGCCTTCCTTCTGCAGAAAATGTGTACTTCAGTGGAAAACTATGTCTGCACCCAGCACACCCTTCCGGGGTATCAGATTCTAGCCTTTCACTACTGTTATTTTTTATTTTATTTTAAGTAGGCTCCACTCCCAGTGTGGAGGTTGAACTCCCGACCCTGACATCAAGGGTGGCATGCTTTACCTACCGAGCCAGCCAGGCGCCCCTTGCCTGTTGTCATTATTTTACAACTGTGAATTGTGGGAAATGGACCAATTAATTTTTTTAAATTTTTTAATGTTTTATTTATTTCTGAGAGAGAGAGAGAGACAGCATGAGCAGGGGAGGGTCAGAGAGAGAGGGAGACACAGAATCTGAAGCAGGCTCCAGGCTTTGAGCTGGTAGTCAGCACAGAGCCTGATGCGGGGCTTGAACCCACGAACCGTGAGATCCTGACCTGAGCCAAAGTCGGAGGCTTAACCGACTGAGCCACCCAGGCACCCCTGGACCAATTAATTCTGTCCTGTCTGGTACAGACCCCTTTATCCCCTTGTGAAAAACCAGTTTTGCCTCCATTTGCACATTTGCTTCAATATTCCCGGCCTATAAATGTGAATGTTCTGTTGCCTTTTTGAGCCAGTTACATCATCTGATACATGTTCATTTTATATCTGCATGGGGGTCATGATTTTACCTTTTTTTCTGAAAATTATCTGTAGCACTTCCTTCATCAGGTGTTTATAGAAGGGACCCTTCGGCCAGGGAGGGGGTGGGGTCCCTGGTGGGCATCTCTGTTCTGCAGAGTTAAGATTCAGCAGGTCTCTGCCCCCAGAGGACTTTCTGAGTGAGTTGGGAAGCAGGGCTCTCTGCTCAGGGGAATGAGATAGAGTCTTAGCAAGTAGGTCAGCCAGCTACTTGACCTTGAGACACAACCTCTTTAGACCTGAGGGTAAGGAGGGGCAGTGAAAGCTGGCTTATATCCTGAGTGCTTGTTTGGGGTGAGGCTGGGGAGGTTGGGATGATTGATTATCCTGGGTAGGAGGCTGGTCTACATAGCCTGCCTGGGGGGCCCCACCTAGACAGAAGTGGACCTGAACCGGAACCAGGCCTGCCTGGCTGGGAGACCCAGGCTGTGACCTGCCTGCCCCTCACCCTTACAGGCCAGAGGTCTGCTTGAACTACCAGCTGCTGGGCACTGCCCCATGGGGTTCTCCCAACATCTCTGCAGTCCCCATCTTACAGGTGAGGAAAACTGAGGCTGAGGGGCATGCGGTGACTTGTCCAAGGACACACAGCCAGAGGCCACATTGGGACTACACGCTAGGATTTCTGTTCATCTTTAAGGGCCGAGTCAAAGCAAAGTCTGTGAGGCCTGTGTTATTGCCCAGTAAACATGCCCATAGGGTGAGTGGCAGAGGCTCGTCTTTTTTTTTTTTAATGTTTTTATTTATTTTTGAGAGAGAGAGACAGCGTGAGCAGGGGAGGGTCAGAGAGAGAGGGAGATACAGAAT